GACTACCCTGAGATGTTGTGCCAAGAGCCAACTGTTGGGATTGTCTAGAAAAGACAACCTTTCGGGAGGAAAATGAAAAAGAAGGAACAGAGAGAAGATATCATGTCAATAGGAATGGCCCATGAGAACAAGGTTTATATTCTATTCCCTACGTGTGCTGATGCCTTAAGAACAAGCGAGTGATAACTGAGGCCAAAAAGGTTTCTCGGGATAATTTCAAATGTCCAAAGGTGACAGAAGAAAACAAAACTTAAGTGGTTCAGTACAGGTCTGAGGAGCAGAGTCTTGTTTTTTGAAATTGTATACGAGGGAACAACGCCCGGGTGGGCCATTCTAGAGCTTTGAACTTTTCTCAAAACATACCCCTATTAATAAAACCTAACTTTAAATCAGCCCATTTCTACTAAGTCCAAATTAAAACACACACACACACACACACACACACACACACACACACACAGGGGCGCCGAGGTGGCTCAGTGGGTTAAGCCTCTGCCTTCAGCTCGGGTCAGGATCCCAGGTTCTGGGATGGAGCCCTCCATCGGGCTTGCTGCTCAGCAGGGAGCCTGCTTCCTCCTCTCTCTCTGCCTGCCTTTCTGCCTACTTGTGATCTCTGTCTGTCAAATAAATAAATAAAATCTTTAAAAAAATAAAAAGAAATAAAAGAAATTAAAAGAAACACACACAAACACACAACTTTCACAGCAAGCCATGGGGCAAGGGCCAAATGATTCCCAGGTGGGTCCTTCAGCATTCTGATCCCATCCTAATTCTGGGGCCTCAGGCTCCAGTGTTGGGGCTCTTTTCCCTCAACATTCATAATCATCAATTTAATACTTGGACTTGGTTTGCCACTCCTGTTAGGAAAGTTTGAGACACTAGCTGCTGGTCCTGAAGCTTAGATCAAAGGGGAAAAAAAAAGTATTTTCTTTTTAAACAGGGTGGACTGCTTCATCTTCACTGACACTACCTCTTAAACATTTCAAAACATGCTAGCGCTGTCACGTGGACCAAGTCCAATCAAGCAGCACAATGGATTTTGGCAATCAGCTTCTTCAAACTTCAGAATGAGTTTCTGAAAAATTAGAGACTATGAAACTAAATGCATAAAGCCAGAAATAATGGTCAAAAACCTACCGGAGCCATCAACCAGCTACTGCTAGACAGAGCCATACGGGTTTGAGTACATGACAGATACAAGGACCGCGGGTCTCCTTTTCAGATCTGGAAAGCAATTTACTACCACGCACCTTCCTTGATTTATGATGGGGCTGTGTCCCCATAAGCCCATTATAAATTAAAAATATTTTAAGTTGAAAAGACATTGGATACGCCCAACCTAGCAAATACCATAGCTTACCCTAACCTACCTTAAATGTATGCAGAACACTCACATTAGCCTACAGGTGGATAAAACATAACGCAAAGTCTGCTTTATAGGAAGTGTTGAACAGCTCATGTAGTTTGCCGAATTCTGTCCTTAAAGGGACAAACGGGATGGCTGTGGGCGTGTGAGCTGTTGACCCTGGTCACTGCGGGGCTGACTGGAGCTGCCGCTCGAGGCCCCCACCCAGTATCACGGGAGAGGACTGTACCATGTTACCACTAGCCCGGGGGAAAGAGCCAAATTAAAATTTCAAGTAGAGTTTCCAGTGAACGTGCATTGCTTTCACACCATCTTAAAAAAAAAAAAAAGTACGACAAACCCTTATAAATCGAGGATCATCTGTACTTCATTAATGACTTCAGGAATCCCACTGTGGAAGCAATGGTAGAAGCTACTAAGATCACCCCTGCCCCCTTTTAACTCATGTCTGGCACATTCTATGCGCTCAATAAATACTCCTTGGATTTAGAAATGAGGACGCGGGAGCCTGGAACTGGGAAGTGACACGATCGCCTCGACACAGAGCTGGAAGGAGAAGACAGACCTCCTGGCTTCCGGCCAGGACTGAACAGGGCATCCTCACATCTGAACTCCCTAGAGAGAAGGGTAGGGGCTCTTCACCTGGGATAGAATTCAAAATCCTCTTTTATTCCTCATCAACAGAGCCCAGACCTACGGAATGGAGACTGTCAGAGGAGGCGCTAGGACAGCTTCCCCCCCCTGGAGAATGCCTGCACTGTCCACAATACCACCCAGGCTCTCTTCTAGAATAACACCTTGACCTCTCCATTTTGCAAGAGGGTGGGGCTTGCTTAACCATCCCCGAGCAATCTCCAGGCTCCCTCGTGCTCTGGTGACAGAGCCACCCCCACAGAAGGCAAGCAGAGCGACCAATGAGGAAATGACCAAGGATCTAGACCACCAAACTGACGTTGGCTCCAAGTTTCACACCGAGACCAAGTCTAAGGGGCCGGTTCCCTGGTCCTTTTCCTCCCCGGCTTGCAGCACTGGACATGAGGTGATTGCACACACCGGAGCTGGCTCTTCCAAAAACAGAACTCACACAAGGGGGTGGAGTCAGGTGGCTGAGGCAGGACCCCAGGCGGGGAAGGCCTGAGTTTGAATCCTGCCTCTGCTTCTTACTAAAGGTCTAAGTTACTTTACTTCTCTGTACTCAGTTTCCCATTTTATAAATAGAATACCCACTACATATGCTTAACCTAAGTATTAAAAGGACACTTAAAACAGTGTTTGACAGTATTAAGTGCAATCAGAATGGAAGATACCATATCTTAGAACCAAAAACATCTCTCTAAAACGAGCAAATTTTCTTGAACACACTGCATCTTACATGGGTCTTCAACACCTTTTATAAAAATATCTCATTCTACATTTTTAATAATTTACCCCTTAAAACTTTTTTTTTTTTTAACGTTACTCTAACAGAATGACATTTGTTCGCCTACTCTCACAATTTTATTCAGGAGCATTCTGTTCGAAGCAAATACAGGACAGTCAAATTAAGTGGTATTTATATTTTTCTCAGAAACAAATCTCCAAGGCACTAATAGCAGTGTTCAAAGGGGTAATAGCAAAGAGCTGTGAACACTTCTGGAGTTTAAGAAAAAAAAAAAGGCGGTACTTTGGAGGTGCTCCAAGAGTCAATTTAAAATACAGAAGGGGTCCCCTGTCGCAGAGAGGGAGAGATGCCGCCTGCCTAAGAGGACTCTATCGTTGGCTGATTCAGGAGCAGGTCCACGGTCTCTAGGACTCCCCGCAGAGATGAAGGGGAGCCCTTCAGACCCCTTAAAGGACGCAGAGCTTTCCACCAGCTCTGTCAGTGAAAAGACTAACCTTATTACTGAAATCACCCCCCACCTCCTCTTTCCTATATTTTGCAAGATTGTTAACATTCCAGATGTTCCAAAAGATTATATGTCCCATACACTGGCAGGTCATCTTTCCCAAACTCCCAAATCTGGCTGCCCCGCAGAATCACCAGAGGAGCTTTTCAAAAACCCCGATGCCCAGGGCTCATCCCAGGCCAATGAAATCAGAATGTCTTGGGTGGGGAGCCAGATATCGTTTTGTTTTGTTTTGTTAAAATCCCAAGCGATTCTTACATCCAACAAAGTTTGGGAACCACTGGTTTATGCATTAATGTTCCCCTAACAAACTCGCTCAGCACCAAACCCCGACTCTCTATGCCAATGACATCAACAGCAAGTACAGACCTGACTCTTGGAACCAGGGTTGCTTGATTTTGAAATTGTGTAATTAAACCTTCTGAGGCATGTTTCTCATGTCAAGTGGGTTTATGGCCGGTAGTCACGAAGCCAGACTCGCTCATGTTCAGTCTGGACATTTGGCACCCATGAACCATGGACAGCAATCCTTTTTTTAAAAAAAAAAAAATTAAAATACTGGTTGGCCCAAAGTCAAACTCTTCAAAGAGCTAAAAGGAACATTTCAAAGAGAAAATCTCGGGATGTTGAGTAGAAAGTTTGGTGTGAGTCTTATTTTTGACAAACCGTGGGGACCTGACCAGGATGGGTACAGCCCTATGAAGTTCGGCTATAGGACCCAGCTGTCCCGCCGCGGCTGGTCCCACCGCTGGGTCCAGCTGCACCTTAAAGCCAGGATCCGCAACCAAAGGGCTGCGGGTGGGGGCAAATCTCACAAGTTCCCGGGAAGCGACGATTTAGCGAAAGCCCACAAGCCCGAGGGGCGTGGACGCCTAGGAGGGAGCTCTGGGCTGGCCAGGAGCATGGGCTTCCCCCTCCGCTACCTGCACGAGGACCGAGAGCAGGGCAAGCGTCGGGGGTCTGCGCCCAAGGGGCGGGCCCGACCCCACCCCCTTTTTTGCTTAGGAGGAAACTACGCCTTTCCTTCCCCAAGGCCCCAGGTAGAGGCAGACAGGAGACCTTCGGGCCCCTCAGCTCAGGGCTGCAGCACCACACCTGGAAAAGGGCTTGCAGGGTCCTGCGACGCACCCAGGCCTGGCCCCGGGCTGGCCCCGGCTCAAGTCCGAGACCCGGGTCCAGGGAGGACGCGCGGCGGGGTCGGCTCTGGAAGCCGCCCGTCCCAGGAGGCCCGAGGAGTGAGCGAAACGGATTCCGGGGGGTCGTTCCCCAGCTTCCCCAAGCGCCGGGGGCGCGTGCCCCGGGCCGGGCCTGGCCCCGCGGGAGGACAGGCGCGGGGCGCACGTGCGGGAATCAGAGCAGCCGCCGCCGCGGGAACCAGAGCCGCCCCGCGCCAAGTTCTTGCCTCCGTAAGCGGACCCGGCGCAGGAGGCCAGGAAAGTGAGGACGGAAAGTTGCGAGCGCTCCGGGGCGCCGAGCTCCGGCCGGTGGTTCCCACACCCCGCCCGCAGCCCCGCTGCCCCGCGCACGGAGCCTCCGGTCTTGGGCCGCCTCAACGCTCGCCCAGCCCAGAAACGAAACGTCCAGTTCCTCCCACGGTCCCGGCCAGAGGCGCAGCTGATCCTTAAGGAAACAGGAAAGGAGGGGCGGGCGGCGCGGGACGCCGAGCCGGTGCCGCGAGCGCGAGCTGGGCCGGCTGCGGGTCGGGGCGCGTCGGGAGGCGGCGCGGGGCCGGCGGGACTCGCCCTTACCTTTCTTCTCCTCCAGCGCCGGACTCGCCGGGAAGTGCGCGGCCAGCAGCACCAGGAGCGCGGCTCCCGCCGTCCCGGAGGGTCGCATCGTTGCCCCCAAGCGCCGGCTCGGGGTCTCCGCAATCAGGCGGGACCGAGTCGGGCGGCCGTGCGCGGGGACGGCCGCGGCGGCGAGGCGGGACTCGGGTGGACGCGGAGATCGCCTGTCGTCCGGTCTGGGAGGCGGCAGCCGCCGGGGCTCGCTCGGGTCCAGCTCGGGACTCGCGCCGGGCTCGGGCCGCCCTGACCGCGGGCGTGCACACCGTGCCGGGGGCGGAGGCTGCTGCGGCCGCGCCGCGCCGGGGGCTGCCCAGACGTCTAGCTCGCGGGGGCGGGGGCCGGGAAGGCTGGGCTGGAAGGAGGAGGGACCAGGCGGCGGAGGAGGGATCGGGAGGAGCAGAGGAGGAGCGGCGTGCTAGGAGAAGGGAGGAAGAGTCCGCGGCGAGGACCGCAGGCAGCCACCGGCTGGAGAGGCGGCGGACGGCGGTGGCTTCTGTCGGTCCAAGCGCGCCGGGGAGGCCCGGGGTGGAGAGAAGAGGCGACGTCCGGGAACGGAGCCGGCGCCCTTAGGAGCGCATTTCCGAGGGGGACGTTCCCTGCGCTGTCCCTCCGGACCCAGTCCTCGTAGACAGGCACAGTTACCCAGTGACCCAGCCTCCGTCGAGCCAGATTTGCACCAGGGCCCCCCATTTTCGCCTTCCGTCCCTCCAACTTTAGGAGCAGACTTTCATCAGCTCCGGGCAAACTGGCCGCGCCTTAGGCCCAAGACCGGATAAGGGCAGAGCTGGGAAACCATTGCTTTACTCTGGCCCCCAACTCCTCCACTGCACCCCAGGATCCTAATGGGGGTTTGAAGCTGGTCTGGCAGCCCAGTGTTCCTCCCCGTGCACGCCTGGCAGGAGTGCCAAGCGTCCGAGTTGGAGCTCTTAAGTCTCAAGCACCCTAGAAATTGACCGAAATAAGGGAACCCACCTTTGGCTCAGGAACGGGCTTTGGAAAATATCAGTTGAATGAATGCGTGAGTACCCAGAGTGCACAGCATTTCGTATGCCGAGAACCAGCCAAGAGTACCTAAAACGAGAGCACGTGTGGTCAATTACTTCACCAAAGACGCGCTTCGAATAAAGGCTTAACACGAACATCTGGGGAGATACTTTGAAGAAGCTAGGTGCCCAGCTGCCCTGAGACGACCAGGTAACTCAAGCAGGAGAAAGGCTATTCAAAAAAGGGGGACCTATTCTCACGGTTCCTTCCCAGACAGGACGGATAGCCTCTAGCCCTGTCCTACAACCTTCTCTCCTTCCAAGATTCACTAGGGACATTCAGGCCTGGTTCAGCTCTGATCTCCCCACTGTTTGAGGTAGAAATCACCCACCTAGAGTAAGTGGAGTTACAGCCCAGAACTTTCCTGCTGCTGGAGGAAGGGTGCAGAACACAGGGCTCCTCAATATCCACAGAACCTGCGTTTTTTCTTCTGAATGTAGAGTCCTGCTTGTTTGTTCCTTTATCTTAAGAACAACCGCTGAGCCTTCTGGACTCATTTAGGCCCTGGGTGAAGAATGCCATGAAGATTCCGCAGGCCGCGTGTTGGTTTCCTCCCCACGTTCCAAACAGGACTTAGAGCCATTTGCAAAAAAAAACACGACCACGGAAGTAACCCAAGTTACTTGGAGAAGAGCAAACCAGAACCAGAAACATCACAGTGGAACAGAGGATCAATCTGAAAGTGAGTCTTACAGAAGATCTACACACAACAATGTCCTGGGCATTTACTTAACAAGGTCACAGATTTGGCTCTGACACTTCTGTCAAGGAAATCCGAGGGATGGCACAAATCATAGGGTCCACATGTTAAAACACCAGTCGATTAAGGATACAACTAATTTATTATTTTTTTATTTTTTTGAAGATTTTTTTTATTGTTACTTGACTGAGAGAGAGACATAGCGAGAGAGGGAACACAAGCAGGGGGAGTGACAGAGGGAGAAAAATGCTTTCCGATGCGGAGTTTGATTCCAGGACCCTGGAGATCATGACCTGAGCTGAAGGCAGATGCTTAAGGTGCCCCAGAGCTACAGCTAATTGTTAAGGCTATATAGCAATCTCTTCCACGGGCCCCTCCAAAGAAGTATGGAGACTTCAGAGTTCTCACTGGCCACTGCTTTGTCATAGTATTAACCTTTACAGTGATATTTTGTCCCAGCAACCTTTGATCTGCTCTGATGGCATCTCAGGAAGCCAAGCTTTAGGAAAACAATTACTCAAGGAGGCCAGGGGACACTTCAGGCACACCATCCGGCCCTGGGTTGATCCCAAGGAATGGACACGAATGGATGGCCTTAACATCCTACTGGGATACCTATGTCAAGTCTGAGTTTCTCCTGTGAGTTTGTGATGGAAGGGGTGACATTCCAGATGATTCGGTACTCTTCGGCAGGTACGTGGAGTCTAGTGATGTATGTGTTACTTGTCAGGTGAAAAACCGTATGGCCAATCTGGCAAGTTTGGCATCCTCTTAAGAGAACAGTCTGTGCCCAGACTGGGCCCTGCGTAAAGGGTTCTCAGGCACCCAATGTTTGCAGAGACAGCTGCCACGGCATGTGCCATGCCACATCTCACGCAAAGGCGACCGCCATAGGAATAAGCAGGGTCAGCGCCGACTCCATGCTAAGGACTGATCGGAAATTAGCTCATCGGACTCCCCATGAGCTAGGTTACACTTCGCTTGCCTTTTATATCAAGATGACGCTGCAATAGGACACTGGCTTGGAAAGGTTAAATAAATAACTTTGCCAATGTCCCAAAGTAGTATTTGCGAGCCCTGAAGCCAGCCTCGAGCCCAAATCCGGACCATGTTCTCCATCACTCTGATGCTACAACTTTTCGAATAGAGACATCAGGATTCCAAATTCTATTTCAGAATGTGTCTTGGAAAGTTTTCAGAGAAGCTACAACCCACATTTCTGCTTGGCTGGAAACATTGCTGGATAAGCACCCATGCACATCCTATTAGCGGGGACATACTAAGACGGTAGTGTTTCCCATACTAAATTTCATATGATCTATCAATTTTCGTAACAGCCTGTTTTTTCCCTTTGCGAGCTACAAATAGGAAACCGTTTTGCTCTTCTGATGAGCAGTTTTCCTCTTTTTGAACTTTCTATTTTAAGTAAGAGTTTAATCTTTTCTAGAAGAGCATGGTGGTGAGTCCCCTGAAACCACACATTCTGTGGGAAGGGAGGAGAAGCGGGTTATTTGACAGGGTAAAGAAAGGAGGGCGTCAAATGTTTTAAGTTCCTTCTTAGGCGAGAGGCATTTGACCACCTGTTTTCCCTGGCCTTTGAGGGCAAAGCAAAGAGCGGTGAGGGAAGAAACACCAGATTGGCAGATTTCAACATTTTTTAAAAATGATCTTTAGGAAACTACCAGAGCTATCTAAAAGTGGAATGAGCTGCCTCTGAGTGGAAATGTTTCTCATCCTTAGAAAGGTTGGTATGCAGGAGAAATACTAAGGGAGGTCGTGAATGAAGGGCTGAGGTAGGTCCCTCCCAGTCCAAAATTCCGAAGGAACATGCATTTCTAAAACAGGCTCCCTTTTCGATGGCTGTGCATTCAACAGTTCTTCTGAAGATATATTTTAAGAAGACGCAAGAATGCAGTAACAAAGGGGGTTGCCTCTGGGGACCAGAATTAGCTGGGGTAGGAGTTGGAAGGAGGCTAATTTTTCAATGGTCCTTTTATACCTTGCAATTTTGTACTGTGAAGAGGCATCACCTAATCACCTATTTCTGTAAGGGAAGGGTCCGAGGCATCAGTAGGCCCCCTGCTGAGATGGGGGGGTGGGCAGGGCTGGTAATGACCTTTCTTCAGCTATTTATTCTCTCCCTTTGAGTCAAGTTATTTGCGTTTGACTCTGAATCCAGGCCTATCTCTGGCGAGTAGGGAAGAAGCTGCCTCTTCAGAGATAATACGCTGACACAAAACTGATGAGGCATTCTTTTGTCATTAGTATTCTTATTAGCATTATCTGTCATTAGTATTCTTCGTTATCTCTAGGGGTTGAGGGTTACGTAATGCTTAAAAAGCAGGATCGCATTTCAGAATGCTGGTTTCTGGCATCGTTGAGACGTTTGTTAGTTACTTTGCCAGGGATCTCGTAGGAAGTTTCTGGCCCCTACACAATGCTTTGCCCAGGTTAAAGGTTTAAAACTGAGGTTAAATAATTTTGTCCAAGGTATGACTACTTGTGTCAGGGATGGTTATGACCAGAAACATTAGCCTCCGGATTGCAACTGGTGGCCTGAAGACTTGTGTGGCCCATTCAGTATTTCTTTTAATTGAATTAATGGCAACATTTAAAAATCAGGACATTTCACATTTCAAATAGGATTTGGGGCATCTGGGCGTCTCAGTCGTTAAGCATCTGCCTTCAGCCCAGGTCATGATCCCACAATCCTGGGATCGAGCCCCGCCTTGGGCTCCCTGCTTCTTCCTCTCCCACTCCCCCTGCTTGCGTTCCATCTCCACTGTCTCTCTCTCTGTCAAATAAATAAATAAATAAAATCTTTAAAAAATAAAATATGGACTTTGTGTTTCTTTTGAAAACTGGGACGTGCTGGTCCACTGCATTTGCGTTCAAGCCACATGGCAGTATGCTGGGTGACAACTGCCCCTTCAGAAAGGATATCATGTCTCCAACTCACACTGACACCACCAAGCATGATTCAGCAGTTCGTGGACCCTGTGTGGCTAGTGCAGGCTTTCAGGTTTGCCACCGCCCCCTTCCCGCTCAAGCAACACTCATGTCAACCCTGTGGTGGGTCTGATTCTCATCTCTGGTTTTCCTTCCCTTCTCCTTCCAGCTCGCTCTCACTCACCTTACGTGCGGGCATATGCATTTGCTGGTAGATTTTGGTCCAGAGGTCAGAATACACTGTATGTCGCAACAGACCTCACCTTAAATTAGCATATTTCAAATGCTAGCACATTTTGATTTTTTTCAAAAACGTACAGGTTTATCAATGCTCACGCTTATACCATTATCATGGTTGACATTCTACTGGCATATATTTTAATTGATATGTATATATACACACATATATACATATATATCCATTTTAATTTATATATTGTTATATATAATTGATATATATATTACCTGTATAACAATTATAAATTATTGTTTATACAGAGTCCTGTTGTAGGATAGAGAAAGAAGACCTGCTTCTCAATGGTTGGTGCACGTACAATAACCATGTACCATGATCTGACCATGAACTGGCAATGGTCAAAATTCGGGGGTAG